ATTGGAATATAAGGAATGATCCTGTTAAAAGGTACCAGACTCACCATCTTCTGGGCAATTTTCCCGTGATATATAATTGGGCGCCAATCAAGGGTATTGGGTAGATAATATTATTATTATATAATACCTACCAATGATAATTTTTATTGTTTCGCTCCAATGTATTTTTTGTCCCGCACCGCAAGATGCTTGCTTCTCGCGCCCAGAGAGCAGCGAGCCAAGCGCAATATTACCTCGCTATGGTTCAATGGCTAGACTCTAGTTGTGTCGGCGTGAAATTAATAATAAACAAATTACAGTGCATTTCAGAGCACCAAATCGGACGGTGCGCTCTTTACTGTACGGGGGAATGGAATGGCTATACGCACCCCGGTATCGTTGAACTCGTTATGATCTATCCCTAACTGATTATGGAATGAAAAACAGGTTGTCCTATTCGAAAATAAAAAGTTGGAATCCCGCAGAATCGGACATAATGGAGGATCATGAAATATTGAAAATATTGCACAATTATTCTATAATCCAACACACCCGGGCAATTTATGTGAATATTTATATCGTCTTAACTCTGGAAATCACGGCTTTTTTGGAGAAGTAGGCACCCAAAATACTCTCGAGTATTTATAACCTATTACTTTCAAAATTATTCTCTCCAAAATCTCAAGATCCATACGATCGACGTCTTCGAAGAATAAAGTTAGTGCAAAGCCCTGAAACATGATATACTCGTTTCATCTCTTTCATAAATCAATGATCGTTCACAACACTGAATCCACTGGCACCATCTGTACGAATTCAGCAGAACTAGCACAACGGGATCTGCCCTCATGCTAGTCGTGATGCAGTTTTCTCTTTCAATTTTATTTCGAATTGTCGCTACGGAATACGGTTCCTATGAAATGCTGTCGCTATGAATTACGGTTCTGATGAATTACTGTCGCTATGAAATACGGTTCCTATAAATTGCTGCCGCTATGGAATACGGTTCCTATAAATTACTGCCGCTATGAAATACGGTTCCTACAAAGTGCTGTCGCTATGAATTACGGTTCCTACAAATTACTGCCGCTATGAATTACGGTTCCTATGAATTGCTATCGCTATGAAATTACGGTTCCTATGCATTACCGCCGCTATGAAATACGATTCCTATGAATTGCTGTCGCTATGAATTACGGTTCTGATGAATTGCTGCCGCTATGAAATACGGTTCCTATAAAATATTGTCGCTATGGATTACGGTTCCTATGAATTGCTGTCGCTATGAAATACGATTCTATGAATTACTGCCACTATGAAATACGGTTCCTACAAAGTGCTGTCGCTATGAATTACGGTTCCTACAAATTACTGCCGCTATGAATTACGGTTCCTATGAATTGCTGTCGCTATGGAATACGGTTCCTATGCATTACCGCCGCTATGAAATACGATTCCTATGAATTGCTGTCGCTATGAAATACGGTTCTGATGAATTGCTGCCGTTATGAAATACGGTTCCTTTAAAATATTGTCGCTATGAATTACGGTTCCTATGAATTGCTGTCGCTATGAAATACGATTCTATGAATTACTGCCACTATGAAATACGGTTCCTACAAAGTGCTGTCGCTATGAATTACGGTTCCTACAAATTACTGCCGCTATGAATTACGGTTCCTATGAATTGCTGTCGCTATGAAATAAGGTTCCTATGCATTACCGCCGCTATGAAATACGATTCCTATGAATTGCTGTCGCTATGAATTACGGTTCTGATGAATTGCTGCCGCTATGAAATACGGTTCCTATAAAATATTGTCGCTATGAATTACGGTTCCTATGAATTGCTGTCGCTATGAAATACGATTCTATGAATTACTGCCACTATGAAATACGGTTCCTACAAAGTGCTGTCGCTATGAATTACGGTTCCTACAAATTACTGCCGCTATGAATTACGGTTCCTATGAATTGCTGTCGCTATGAAATACGGTTCCTATGCATTACCGCCGCTATGAAATACGATTCCTATGAATTGCTGTCGCTATGAAATACGGTTCTGATGAATTGCTGCCGCTATGAAATACGGTTCCTATAAAATATTGTCGCTATGAATTACGGTTCCTATGAATTGCTGTCGCTATGAAATACGATTCTATGAATTACTGCCACTATGAAATACGGTTCCTACAAAGTGCTGTCGCTATGAATTACGGTTCCTACAAATTACTGCCGCTATGAATTACGGTTCCTATGAATTGCTGTCGCTATGAAATACGGTTCCTATGCATTACCGCCGCTATGAAATACGATTCCTATGAATTGCTGTCGCTATGAATTACGGTTCTGATGAATTGCTGCCGGTATGAAATACGGTTCCTATAAAATATTGTCGCTATGAATTACGGTTCCTATGAATTGCTGTCGCTATGAAATACGATTCTATGAATTACTGCCACTATGAAATACGGTTCCTATGAATTACTGCCGCTATGAAATACGGTTCCTATGGAATAATGTCGCTAATAATTACGTTTTTTATAAATTGCTGTCGCTTTGAAATAGGGATACTATAAATTGCTGCCGCTATCAAATACGGTTCCTATGAAATGCTGTCGCTATGAATTGCGGTTCTGATGAATTACCGTCGCTACGAAATACGGTTTTTATAAAATACTGTTACTATCAAGTACGATTACTACATAATACCATTCTGATGGATTACTTCACGATGAATTACGTTTTGATGCTTTACATACCTATAAAGAACGGTTCTATGTATTACACTGCTACGGTTTATATTCCTACAGAATACTGTTTTGATTCATTACAAACTCTATGAGTTACCAACTCTATGGAATATTTTCCTATAAAAAATGTTCCTACACTTCATATTCTGACACTTTAGGTGTTCCCATTTTACTTAGATACTTTTAGTGTCGGATCGTTTGATGTTGATGTCCACAAGTTTCATTTTTGCCAGATCAGTACGCATACCACCACGCACAGACATGCGCGTTTCGGGAATGGTCGAGCCAATGATAAGCTAATGACGTCTGGCTCGTCATTACTGAGGAATGCTGTGAAGTCTCTGATGAATATTATGTGAACAGATCCGGCCTCAAATAAATAAATAGCCTAACTACGCACTCACTACCACTTACTATACCACTCGTAAAAACATTGAAATTTAGGTTTAAACATCAGAGTTCTTACCACACTGTGTAATAAATAAATGAATAAATAATGAATGTTAATGGTTCATCTTTTAGAAATCTGAAGAAACTTCCAACAGCAATCTGTCCTACTAATTTTGCTACAAATGAATAGGTAGGCAGCCATTATCTTCTAATGACAAACAGATCGATGAACAGTAATATCAATAGCACTCAAAAGTGAAACGAAAAGTGAGAAATCAGAGACCTCACATATAAAGTTTATGGAGCACAATAATAATAATACGAGCAATCAAGAATAAGTGGTTCACAAAACAATAGTTGCGTTTTATTTATCCGATTCCGCCACTGGAATCACTTTAATGTGTCGTATTATTTGCAACTTTTCCGATTCCGGTTGCTACTTTTCATTCTGTCTCACTACAAAGAATGAGGTGGAATGACTGTTGACAGTCGTCATAAAATGAAATTAGATTGACGAAAAACAAAACTTTTTGAAAGTAGAAGACATTTAGAAGGAATATATTTTAATCGTGTGGTTCACTTTATGATAATTATACGGAGCCCCAATATATAAATATAGCCTCTCTCATCTATAATATGTCAATTCTCTCATGCATGGTCATGCAGTTGCTCGTCTCATTTGTAAACGTCATTCTGTTCTCACCACCGTAACCAGAATGGAACAAATAAAACGCAACTGATACTAGACCCAATTAATAAATCATGATACTCATGATCCCCATCACATAATGAATCTTGATGGCATATAAGAATTCAAAAAAGTGTAAACAAAACACCTGCCCTGCTTGCTCAGCAACCGCGCATACTCGCCACGAGTAGACATGCGCACTGCGATTTTTAGGACAAGAAAAGTGCTGACAGAAATTACTGTTTTCCGTAAAGGTGTATACCGTGACACGGGTTACACTAAAAACTGAAAAAGCTGCCTAGAATGGGATATAGGGTGTTGCAGGAACGTTGATCATGTCTTTGATTTTTTCCAAATTACAGTCGTCCATTTTTTCCTCAACTTAAGGTTCTGTATTTTTCTGAAGTTATAGTTTTCCTGGGGCATATTTATGTAAATTGCGGAAGCTATTAAAAAAAATCCAATACCTACCATCTCTCCCGATCTTCTGTTATGATTTATCAACCTTACCCTGAATGTAATTCCGAAATAAAATTACTGCAAAATGTATCTCTCACTTTACTCTTCGAAATCGTAACACTTTTTTAGATAGGCACGATTCCCTCTCGTGCGCCCCAAGAGATGAAAAAAATATATCGAAAAATCGACGAGTTGTATTTGAAATGAAATAATTTGGACGTTTTGTGCAATACTCTATCTTAATTGAGCCAGTTTTCTCAGGGAGTTGATAATATTACCGGATTTCCAGAAATTGTCTGTTGAGAGAGGTTTAGGACACCTAAACTTGTAATGCCATAAGATCAAAGTTCATTTACGAGATCGAACTTAAAATGGAGCGAGCTCAGTTAGGACCTGTCAAATAACTTACTCACTCTCATTTGTTTCCAAACACCAACAAGACACATGAACGACAGTTAGGGATTTCCTGCGCATTGAGCAGAACCGTTTTCAGGCGAGCAATTTGGATGAGATTTCTTGGTTGCTGGGATATGACATATAGCGGTCTAGATAGTAGTTATGTTAGTAAATATATATGACACTTTAGTCACTGTACGCACCCAATTAACTTGAGGGCTGTTTCATTAGTTTCGAGCGATCGTTGTCGATAAAGTAAGATGATACGAGGGGCGTTCAATTTTCCTTAATATCACCCACCAAATCTGTGCGAATTCAAGTATCATTACTATTAGGTCGTCACTGGTGGCACCGATCTTCATTTGTTGCTGCTGGATCTCAGGTCGGCAGGACTGACTGGTGCCAAGGGGGAGTACATACTGGAAGAGGTGTCCATCGCGTGTAATAAGAATACCGTACCCGGAGATAAAAGTGCCTTGAATCCTTCAGGAATACGGTTGGGTAAGTTTTTTTTCGAGTGTAGAAGCATCATTGGATCGTAATCTACGCAGTGACGAATTTAGGGGAGGGCATCCGGCGCTATAGCCTCGGGGCCTCCACAAAAAAGGGGCCCCCCACAATAGAGAAAAAAAAATCTTTCGACTTTCGACGGGTAAACCCTAGTGAACAACTTTTCCTTCAATATTTTTTTTATGGAAAAGCCAAGTTCGTTGTTTCACCCTTAGTACTTCATAGAGACATTATTATATTATTTTCAAGTATTGAAATATAATTTCATTATATTTGTTCACTTCAATCTGAAAATATCAATTTGTCAAAATGGCCCTGATAAGCAGTTGTTGCCATTTTAATACCCATTTTGATAGAGTATCCCAATGGCTGAGTGGGGCAATACTTGTCCGAAGCCTCAGAGGGTGGGGTGTTCGTTTTCGCATTTTAATTAAAGGGGTCTATGGAAAAACCAAGCTACTGAGGTATTTTAATACGAAATTCTGGAAGATGAAAGTTCAAGAATGACATTTCCGAATATTGAAATTGCACTGAGAATGTATTTGGTTTTGATAACATCAAAATTGCACTGGAGAACGTTCATTTTCAAAGATGAAAATTATGAAAATAGGCTCCGAACTTGGATGGGACAAAACCTTCTTTCAGATAATTATTGTTTTTGACAATATTTCTACTGGGTTTTCCTTAAGTAAGCGAAAAAAAAAAGGACCATGTTGGTGGCGTCAAAATGAGAAGAAGAGTTCGAAAAAACATTTTCATTTCCGAGTGTCGAAGTTCGACTCTTCTTCCTGTTTTTTCTTTTAGTAAATTTAAAAATGTACGTGATATTAGAGTGAAATTTGGTATCTCACCCAAATATCAGGATTATATTGGAATTCATTCCCAAAAAAACGAAATAACAATCAAAATTTGACACTTTGTATCTCAGAATAAATAACTTGCGGACATATGTTAATGCAAACTTTTCTTCTTATTTAAACGTCAGCAACATGCTCCTGAAATTTTCACACGTACTTGAGAAACACCCTGTATATGTTGAAATAATTTAGTAGGTTTTTCAAAAAAATTGTTGACCGAGAAATTCGTTAATTTAGAACCTAGGGGGCCTCCACTCTTTCATTGCCCTAGGACCTCAGACCTCCTAATACGGCTCTGAGTCTATGGGACAGGACCTATTTTCGAAAATGATAACTACTCCACTTAACGGGGCATTTTTCACTATACAGCCGGAAAAGCGTCAATAGGTTAGCAAATTGGTATTGATTTTTTCACATTAATTAATTGTTCCAGATCTCAAAATATTTTTGTATCATTCAAATGTGTCCATGGATGAAAACCCAAAGTCATCGCCACAACATTTTTATTAGAATGATGAAAGATCAATCGTGAAGGAACATGTTTCAGGCTTATATAAGCCCATCATCAGCCAATAGGAAGTATCATGAAATAATAGAAGTAGACATACAAAAAGTGTAGTTGATAACAGGGCAAACAGGGAAATATGTTCCATGATTGTCCCTGTTAAACTGATATAAATTTATTATGTTATAACTTATTTGAACAGTTAAGGATAGGATTCATATTTTTCAAGGGCCCACGTGCCCTTGAATTACCGAAAAGTGATGATTAAACTTCGAAAAATCAAACTAAAAGTTTGATGAGGCATCAAAATTGACCTGATAAAGTGAAAAAAAAAACTTCATCACTTTATCAGGTTGATTTTGATGCCTCAATAAACTTTTAGTTTGAATTTTCTAAGGTTAATTATCACCTTTCGGTAATTCAAGGGCACGTGTGGGCCCTTGTAGAATAAGTTATAACATAATAAATTCATATAAGTTTATTTGTATGTCTACTTTTTTCATTGCCATAACTATGATACTTCCTATTGTCTGATGATGGGCTTATATAAGCCCGAAAAATTTTCCGTTACGATTGATCTTTGATTCTTTGACAAACCCAGAAGTTGAGTGAAAAATATCAGAATTGAATGATACATAATCGAAATCTGGCAATCTGGCATTCTGTCAAGAAAGTTCAATCTTTGAACAAATTTGCGCCAGGTTATGAAGTATTTTAGAAGAAAAAAAGGAAGAATGCATATTATATTTGTATCAAAATTTTCTAATTCGGTCTTCAAAAATCGAATCACTCGTTCATCGCCGATTACATGTCGCTTTCCATCGGTAAATTCACTTTTCAAAAAACATTGGCAATATTTTTTTTTATTTCGAAGGTACCCCAGCAATAACAACTAGAGGTTTGAAAGAAGAAAATATCGACGATGTAGTCAATTTTATTGATAGGGCTTTGAAGCTAGCTAAAGAAATTAGTGCAGCATCTGGCCCCAAACTGGTCGATTACAAGAAAGAAGTACACGGAGAAAAGTTCTCCGGTCAGGTTGCTGCTTTGAGAAAAGAAATTGAACAGTACAGCGAGAATTTCCCTCTGCCAGGTTATCCAGATTGCTGATCAATCTTTGGTGATTTTTATAGATCTGTTTGAATTCCGTTCTGGAATGGGATAATTTATGCCATATTTTTCTGTATTCATTATATTTATACCTAGTTTTTTTTTAATTATTAAAATATTGAGTTTAATTATATTGCATTTCAATTTCGATCCTCAGACTCATCCAGATTTTTGTATTACAAATACTGATAAGGTGTATACAGGGTGATTTACTTAGGCCATACATTAATAGTTTTCCAACTCACAGTTGGTTTAAAAACTTGGGAATTGGTATGCTGTAATAATCGATGATTTAGTCTAGCAGCTACACAGGGTGTGCCAAAAGTCGGCAACAACTTTCTTATCTAGATTAGAAACCTATTTTTGTTGTCACTGTTCGATTGGTATAATTATGAGTTTAGGATATGTAGATGTTTCTGAAAATAATTTGTGGACCAGTTAGCTGATGAAAATTAAGGCTAAATCCTGACGTCCCACACAGAACTGTCCCATTTTTGTACCACATGGGCGCGGGCAAACACTCAACTTTTTTCTGGCACCAAATGAAAAAAAAAATAATTTGAGAAGTTACTCAAGCACTCCCTATACAGGGTGTTTCACAATATATGCACAGGACTTCAGGATCTGATAGCTAGTCCAAAAATTAAGAAAAAATCTTAATTAACGTACCCTCTAAAATGCACCCTTTTCGAAATACAGGGTGTCTCTGGAAGCATTTTCGGCTCATAATAAAGTTTTCTAATGAAAATTTCGAAACAGTTCAAGATAAATCTACAAATTTTCTCACAGATACTAAACTTCTCGAGCTCCTTAAGTTGAAACAATGAGCATAGCACTGTTATTCAAATTACAATCAAATATTATTATAGAACTGAAAATGTTAAGATATTTCTGAACCGATTTAACTCGAAAACGTGAGCTTTTTCACGCAAAGATATATGTTTTTTTTAGATTTTGAACTACAAATTGAGAAAGGAATGCAGATAAAAAAATTTCGTTTTTTTTTTTCTTCACCACCCCCAGATTCAGCCGCCACTGAATTTCTTTATGAAATATTTTTCATTTCATCTTATAGAGCGTGAAAAGTTTAGTATCTGTGAGAATCTTTGTTGATTTTTCTCAATCCGTTTCGAACTTTTCATAAAAAAACAATATTCAGACTCGTATTTTCATCACCCTATATCTCGAAAACGACGCGTTTAAAAGTATGTTTACATAAAGTTTTTCAATCATTTCAACGAGTAAAACACACTGTTGAATCTAAGTATTACAAACCGGACCACCCTGTATACAGTGTGTCCCACTTACCATGCTCACCATGGGTATCTTTTTAACGGTGAGAGATACGAGGTCGGTTAAATGACACCAAATGTGGAGTTTGTCAAGGATAACTATAATGTGAAAAAATATTTTGATAAAATCTATTCGTTTTTGTTGTATACACAAAAAAACAGATTTTGATCATTTTCATGTCTCCTCCGTAACTTCTTTATTTATGAAAATATTCAAATAGGAATTTCACATTCTCATGGCAGTTTTTCAAAGTGATTCCGAAAAAAATTTGAAATTTATACCAACTCTTCTAGAATTTAAGATATCACCAACTTTAGTTTTTCAAATGTAGGTCATAGCTCACTATGACTTAGTTACAAATAACTTTTTTTTCCCTTACAGATGATATGTCGCAGTAATAGTTTTGTGTTGATAACAACGGAGTTATCGTCATTTATACAAAAACAAAAAATTATTTGGAAGCCGCTATCTTGAATTTATAATTTTTAACAAAAAAAATCATGATCTCCGACCTCAAAAACCCCCACTTACCAATTTTGAATGCAATCGGACCAAATCTTGTCCGCCATCTTGGAGCAACCATTTTTTTAATTGATGGCGGACAAGATTTGGTCCGATTCCATTCAAAATTGGTAAGTGGGGGTTTTTGAGGTCGGAGATCATGATTTCTTTGTTAAAATTTATAAATTCAAGATGGTGGCTTCCAAATATTTTTTTGTTTTTGTATAAATGACGATAACTCCGTTGTTATCAACACAAAACTATTACTGCGACATATCATCTGGAAGAGAAAAAAAAGTTATTTGTAACTAAGTCATAGTGAGCTATGACCTACATTTGAAAAACTAAAGTTGGTGCTGATATTTCAAATTCTAGAAGAGTTGGTATAAATTTCATATTTTTTTCGAAATCACTTTGAAAAACTGCCATGAGAATGTGAAATTCCTATTTGAATATTTTCATGAATAAAGAAGTTACGGAGGAGACATGAAAATGATCAAAATCTGTTTTTTGCATATAAAACATAAACGAATAGATTTTATCAAAATACTTTTTCACATTATAGTTGGCCTTGACAAACTCCACATTTGGTGTCAATTAACCGACCTCGTATCTCTCACCGTTAAAAAGATACCCATGGTGAGCATGGTAAGTGGGACACACTGTATACCTAATAATACCCTCCAAAAGGCAAACTGAAACTACATCGAGTTATTCGATAAAAATCAAGAAACGCCTTAAGCAACGTTCACAAATAAACTTTTTACTTTTCGTATTCTGATTGGTGAAGCAAAATCTGGAATTAAAGTGACGCAAAAAGCTGACAATATTCGTTGCAAGATGCCATCGTCTGTGAAAATTGTAAAAATGAAACTCATAGTCTCCAAAGGTCAAGAAAAATTCCAACACCTACCTCCTCTCCCTATCCTCTCTAGGTACAGGGTGATTCACCATAAATGTCCTTCCCTCTAACTCACTTATTTTTGAACCGTTTTAAAAATTTGAAAGATAATCTAAAATGATATTTCAGAAATTTTTTTCCCGTTGCATCAGAAAATACATGGTGCTCGGAACAAACGATCTACAGAGTACTAGGTAATTGATTTTTTAAAATGGAACACCCTGTAATTTATTGTATTTTTAGATTCTTCCTGAAGAGCTGATTTCATCAATGTATCACACTTGGGGTTTAGCGGGAATGATTACAGAGATATAGGGTGTTTAAAATCGAGATTTTCCAACTTTAGGATTTTTTGGTGCCGAAACTATTCATTACTGGTCAAAACGGCTTCTATGTTCCCATCTCAACTTTTAATTTACTATCTAGTGAAATTTAATTGGAACATTTACAGGTTGGTTCAAGATTCAGAATTCTGGTCACCCTGTATCTGTTCCAATTATTAAATGTCAGTAGATAGTAAATCAAAAGTTAATATACGGACATGAAAACCGCGTGACCGATAATGAATAGTTTCGTCACAAAAAAATCCTTAAGTTAAAAATCTCGATTTTGAACACCCTATATCTCTGTAATCAGTCCCGCTAGACCCCAAGTGTGATACATTGTCAAATCAGCTCTTCAGGGAGAATCTAAAAATACAATGAAAAATAGGGTGTTTCATTTAAAAAAATCAAATAGTACCCTGTAGATAGTTTGTTCCGAGCACCCTGTATTTTCTGATCTAGCGGAAAAAAACTTTATCGAAAATTATTCAAGATGATATTTCAAATTTTAAAATCGGTTCAAAAATAACTGAGCTAGAGGGGGGGACATTTATGGTGAATCACCCTGTACGCACGATATTCTTCGGACATTATATGGATTCCCGTTCGTGCGCACCAAGCGATAAAAAATATCGCTATAAAAATGGAAAATAGTACTGTAAGTTGTGATTCCAATAGAACAATGCATGTTTATGGAACATTCTATGGAAGTTATGATAAAATGCTTTTGCTAACGATTTTTTTGTAGATCCAAGAAATAGTAGATATGTACTGTTCAATTAATTATTTTCTTTCAGAGGATTGATTTTGTATTGAATGAGGAGTAATTTACGTAAAAACTCACGTTGACGTTTTTTTGGACTAAGCGACATTTGCTTTAATTCAATTCACGTTTGATTCCAGATTCCACTTCACCAATCAGAATACTAAACGTAAAAAGCAGAACGTTACAATTTTGGTTGTGGCCGCTTTAACGTGCCGAGATATTTGTTTCTTTTTCAATCACCATGTACAGTGTCATTCATAAAGTCGGCATCATATGGGAAAAACTTTTATTAATGACTTATTTTGAAATTCGAGTTGGACGTCAAGTTTTGCTTCAAAAAAGATGAAAAATGGCCAACTCAATCGGGGTCACGTGTCTTTCGCTACATGTCAAAAGTGACATTTTTTCAAATTAATCGCTGAAAGTAGGCTTATTTGTTCGAATATCGAAAAAGTTTACTTGAAAAAGTTGTTTCTATTTGAATTTTATATGTTTGACTCGGATTTTATCTTTCTATTACATTTTTTAGATTTCGATACTTTTTTAAAATTTTCGAAATTTCTGTAATATTAAAAAAATTGTAAATTCGATAAAACTGCTTTATACCAGTAGCTTCATCATGTTACTAATTTTCAATTACTAATTATCACTAATTATCGACAAAAATATGATTTTCTTCAGAAAATGATAATCTCCTCTTCAAAATTCTGTTATGTTTGATCCAAACATAACATCAAAATTCTGTTATGTTTGAGTCAAGCATTTAGAAACGAAATTCATTTAAATTTATTTTTTCAGTACTGAAAAGATCAGTTTAAATGAATTTCGTTTCTGAATGCTTGACGATATATCAACTTTGCATCAAACATAACAGAATTTGGAAGCGGGTATTATCATTTTCTGAAGAAAATCATTTTTCTGTCCATAATCAGTGATAAGTAATTGAAAGTAAGTAGCATGAAAAAGCTACTGGTATAAAGTAGTTTCGTGGAATCAACATACATACTTGTATGTAACATAGTTAAATAAACTCTATCTATCTATCTTCAAATATTACAGAAATTTCGAAAAACTAAAAAAAAATCTAAATCTAAAAGTTGCAATAGAAAGATCAAATTCGGGAAGCATGTGTAAAATTGAAATGGAAACAACTGTTTCAAGTAAACTTTTTCGATATTCGAACAAATAAGTCTACTTTCAGCGATTAATTTGAAAAAATGTCACTTTTGACATGTAGCGAAAGACACGTGACCCCGATTGAGTAGGCCATTTTTCATCTTTTTTGAAGCAAAACTTGACGTCCAACTCGAATTTCAAAATAAGTCATTAATAAAAGTTTTTTCCATATGATGCCGACTTTATGAATGACACTGTATAGTTGATTTCTTGATTTTTATTGAGAACTTGATGGAGGTTTGCATTAGGCATAAGGAATATGAGGAATCCTCATTCAATTTTCGTTCATATGGTGTCAAAAATTAGTAGGTACCAAAATGTTTTCGTGAACTACTTCGGCGATAATCATTTTCAGAAAAATCGATATATCCCAAAAACTGCGATAGATAATTTAATAAAAATTAGGTTTTCTCAACTCATAATCAGAAGAAACGTGTGAAAAATTAGAGAGTTGGTGTCGACTTTTGGCACACCCTGTATAGCTAGAGAATCAAAAATATTTCGGGTAGATTTTAGAAATGATCCATTATAACAGCATTCCCATTTTCAAGTTGAAAAACTTATGCGTGGCCTACGTGAATCACTCTGTATATGTTGACTTAGAAAACGATTTATTTGCTTAGTTTAATAGCATTTTATTCAATTCCATACATATAATTGAATAATGAGCCCTGACCCCCATAAAGATATATTTACAAAATGCAGGAAATTGTTTATACAAAAACATGCATATCAAAATGATGTTAGAATAAAATAGATGTCTTTACAAAATATATATTCTACAAAATATTATGTATCAAAACATTAACTGCTAGGCTAGTTTCATTATTAGCAAAATTGTTAAATATTTTTGTTTATATACCGCAATACGCTGATGCAAAATTGGTATGTTAAATTATTCTGTAACAGTTTCACAAATACTTGTCATAAGCTTAAATCAATTATAACAACCGAACGGAAAAGTTATATCATAAAGGAATTTGTATAAATAAAATGCATCATAATCAAAACATAAAAAATATAAATGAACACCATTAATAAAATCATAAGCCCTACTATTACTAACAAAAAAAAGTGTTTTCCAGAAAAAACAAGGTTTGACATTTTTTGTCAACCTCAATGAACTAAGACACATGCTTCTGGCCATTGATTACCAATCTGTATCAGGGGTAAACTTTGGTCAAGATTTTTTACTCCAAAAAGGATGCTATAGAATTACAGAAAAGTTCAGGGTTTTTATCAAGGAATCAAAAAAATTCAATAAACCCCAGTTCTAAGATTTTAAACATCAACCAGTGTCAACATTTTGAATACTAAACTTTCGGGAAATTCAAAAGAATTTTATAGAACATTGTAGTAATAAAGCGTGAGCTAATATAATCTTCACTCTGTTTGGATAAATCTAAATCAACAGTATACCACTTACGGCAAATTTTTTACGCCTACTGTTTTGATCGTTCAGTTTTTTGTTTCGAATCTGGCCTCCGGTTTCTTGAAAAAAATCATTGCTACGCCCTTGACAGGGCTTCCAAATGAGGTGCTTCTGGGGTTCTACAAAATCAGGATCCGCCACTGTTGAGAAATTACAGGAGAACAACAAATATTGAAAGTGTTGAGTTATTCACAATTTGCGGTGAAAATTTGGAAAAAACAAATGACATATTAGTTTTGCCACAGAATTTCGGGATTCTGGACAGGAGGATCCCGGAAATTCTGAGACAATTCATGAAATTCCATCATGATCCAAGAAATCCCAAGAACCTCGAAAGAAATTCAAAGGATTGAGATCGCGGTCATCATTTTCATTGTTTACATCCTGGAAATTTATATCAATACCAGAATAATTCAGCCACTGCTTACCCCTTCAATATAATGTAAACCTCTGTTCAATTGAATGGCTGCTCACAATTTCAAAAGGAAATTCAACTTCAAAGAATCAGCTGAATGTGGTTTTGGAAAAACTACATTTATCATGCGATGGTTTTTTTTTTCGAAAATTTTTTCTGGTACTCACGTATTTTTGTCTGAAAAACACGAATTTGATAATGAAAATGTGAACAAGCATTATTTATTAAGATATTTTGCTATAAATTTACAAATTTCACCTTCTTTTCCGCCTGTCTTCTGGTTCGCATTCAGAACAATTTGCCCTTCTTTTTTCATCATTGGACAATTTATATATATCACAATGTACGACACATTTCTTTTCTATTATATGAGTCAACTAGAAATCTGATTTTCTTGTGATTTATCCATATTTTCACTAAAATCGCCGCCACCTAGTATGCTTGCTCACTAAATATGAAAAACTGGCCATAAAAATCATATTTCCTGTTGAATTTTTTATATAAAAATGTGTCATTGAAGTACATTATGAGTATATAAAGTGTCCAATGACAAAATAAGAAGAGCAAGTAGCTGTGAATGCATCCAACACAAGGGGAAAAAGAAGGCGAAAATTCGAACTTTTTCTTAAAATATCTCGATAAATAGTGGTTTGTTCACATTTTCATTATAAAAATCGTGTTTTTCCGACAAAAGTACGTAAGTACCAAGAACATTTTCGAAAAAAAGCCATCGCATGATAAATGCAGTCTTACCGTGGTTTTTTCGATACTTCCAGACCTACTTGATTTCTGCTACATAGATGATGATTTGGTGGTGGTGATTTTCGTGGTGGGAATTCATCAAAGTGTCATTTGACCTTGCAATTCCAATGATCACTAAGCATCCTTAGTTATTCTTTCACGAGGTTATTGGAAGTTGAAATCCACAAAAAATTTCAGAAGAGCACCTCAGTTGAACAGTAGTTTGCTAGTTCACAATTTCCTGACAAACACCCGCTAAGTACTAGACGAATTATAAATATATACAAAGAAGCATTTTGGTTTTGCATGGAATTTCGTAGTGACCGTCAGTAGGTATATAATATATTTAGATAATATAATTTAAATAAGTCGGAAGGGGACGCCCCACTCCCTGATTACGAAGGGACGTCGTCCCCGTCCATGGCCTCGTCTTGGGTGGTGGAATCATCCCCTGATCCGTTGCCGCTGGTCTGGATGGATCCGCGTTTTGTCGAACTCAGGCGGGACGATGAAATGCCCATGGTACCTCGCCTAGAAAAGTCGATTTTCACGTCAGTCTCGTTCAAGTGGAGGTCGGTGGAAAGTCGATGTTATTAAAAATACATTCCGGGATATAAAACTTCGGTTAGTATAACAGCAATACGATGCACACACTGTATTATTCAGCTATTGCCTATCAATGATTAGATATTATTTGATTGTCGCTATTACCCCAAGAATTTTTTCTTCTACAAACGTCAAGAAAAGACATGGTTCGCGCATTGATAACAAATTGCGAAGTGGCACTTTTTCAGTTTCCTACGTTACCATGATACCTTGCACAAAACAATGCGCAAAGTAAAACAGTGCACGAAGTACCTACCATTCCATTTCCCGGTTACGTAAATTACTACAGCCAGGAAGTTCACAATTAAAAAAAAACACAGAATTAGACTGACAGATATTTGATTACTTTGAAACAATGATAAAGATGCCTGCAAAAAGATGCCTTCAACGCAGGTGTCATTCCTGTTAAAACTTTCAAATTTCACGTCGATAATGATCTGATTTTGATATAATGTGCCCAGCGAGCACAAACATCCCTGGGATGTTTTGGGATGTTTTGAAAATGTTGGCATGAAGATGTTATTTTGAGACGTAATATGCACTGACCAAAGAGGTCTTTCAAGGATATTGAAGTATTGTTTTTTGTTCTTCTGTGGCATTTCTTTGTTTGCCTACTGAGAGGTATCCCTGGGATGTTTTGGGATGTTTTAGAAATGTAGGCATGAGGATGTTTTTTTGAGGCGTAATATGCACTTCCCAAAGAGGTCTTAGAAGGATATTGAAAGTATTGTTTTTGTTCTTTTGTGCCCTTTCTTTGTTTGCCCCACCACAACGTCTAATGCTTACGTCACAATACGATGAATTCTGATTTGTTTTCGATTTTGTTCTTCTTGTTCGCAATTGGCATTCGCGTTTGCAGCGTGTCACGCTTACATCACGCTGCTAACGAACAGAAAGGAATTTGGTGAAGTTTATTGTGTTAGAAGACTTATTTAGTTTGTAATAGTGGCCATCAGATGCAAGATGTGTTGTTCGGTGCCTCAGTGTAATCAATATATGAAAGTACGAATTTATCAATACACAGCGTCTCCGCAGTTGCAAAATCATGCATTGTGGAGAACATTTCAAAAATTGGGAAACCTATTTCCAATTATATGTCTGTGTGTAGTAAGCACTACTCAGAAACCGATTAAGAAGGTAATTTCATACCAAGAAAATATTCATTCAAGGGAAATGGAATCCTAATGCAAAAGTTCATTTTGGCAAAAGGCTCCAGAAAAGTACCTCGAAAATGTTTTTTTACAGCGATTTAATGTGCGCAAGACGCGTTGAAAATGTTTTGTTGTGTCCATGAAAAGGCTTTAAAAAGAACTAGGGAGAAGGTAGTTTTGTGACATATCAAGGACATCTCGATAATTGCCGCCTGCGGCGGACATTGACTGTTCTATAATAGTTCTATTCATGTGTGAACAGAACATCGCAGTGGAGGTTCAATGTCTCGAAATCTCGTACTTTCAACATATCTGAGAAGTTTTTGTGCTCGCTGGGTGATATCTTTTCAATACTGATTCGTCCTTTTTCCTGTCACAGAAAAAATGGTTTGTTATACTAGGAAAACATATAAGATTTTAGCTCACTGTTTTTTGTCAACACAACCAGGAGTTAAAATCTACCAGTTTTTTCTCTAGTACAATAAAAAACTAGTTTTTGATAAATATGTCTCCGACTGTCCGCATACACTTTGTTATAGTTCCGAGATTTTTTTTCCAGCACCATTTATAAAAAGTCAAGGTTTATTAGGTTTCTTATTCATTGGGTAATGTTTGGAAACTTGTAATTAAGAGGACAAACTAAATATGTAGTGTTTTTTGTTTTCATTGTGATAATGGGTTCCTCCCTAATTTAATTTAATCTATCAAAAACATAGTTATTTATTATCCAAGGGAAAAAATAGTAGATTTCAGCTCCAGGGTGTGTTGTCTCCCAACGCGGAATAAGTCGATGCAGGTGAGTTAGACATAGGCATATAGCTTGAGTAATACATCCTCAAATTCTCTTTTTTTTTATGTGGTGTTAAAAAAAATAGAAGGTCCAATTGAAAAATTTTAGGTTCCGGAAAATTTTCAAACGTTTACCTATTAGACTGTTGGCCCACGACACAGGGTTTATCGATGTTCTAAGTCGGCAACGGAGGCTAAGCCTCCTCAGAAATTCTCCTTGAACTGATATTATCTATACTTTCTCATTAGAAGGACACCAAAATACATGGATTTTGATTTTATTTCCTGTTTTTAGGTTAATATTTTTGAATTGGCAACAGTGCTTGCCCACGCATCACACGTTGAAGTCTGCAAATCACGCGTAAAATATTCAACTTGGCAACATCTATAGGAGGCTAGACTCCTTTCACAATGCGCAAGCGCAACCTTGAGCGCAACCCACTCGCGCAATGCAATGCAAATGCCCGAATAGCACGTGTTTGTCGTGTCGCGTCGCGAATTGCTGGCATTGTTTATGTTTATGTTGGGTTAATGGTTAGGGGCTCTATGAATTTCTGAAAAATGAGTGTTTTAAACGATTGAAATTTAGTGTAATACTTTTTGGTGATTCCATTCAGTGTTTTGTCTGCGAATCACAGGAACACATCTCTTCAAGTATTAAGTTCAGGTTAACTAGTAAATAGAATGTCATTAAAGCTATTGATTTGGGTGAGTAGAGAGTTGTTTTTCACAATAAATCTCATATCATTCAGCCTCCTCTGTCATGAAAGTCACGAGCCGCCACTGGGACCCACTCACTCAGTCCAAGTTAACAGGAAGGAGTCCCTCGGAGATTCGCAACCCAGTCCTTGCCCCGGCCCTGACCTCACCGTTCGGTTGGAAAAAAGTTCAAATTTTGTTTAAGAAGAAGCTCGGAAATGAAGTGCAATGATCTTATCTCACGAAAATTCGGGCGCTTGCCGGTTTGCATACGTCTAGGTCACTCCTCAAGGGAGGCATACGAACCGGAAATGGCAATTTTTCAGTTTTATACTCGATGATCTAAGAATATATTCGAAACGATTAATTCGCACCCATTAATCAGTTTAACGACATTCGCATACGGCATACGATTCCGGAGAAGGGAGCTTGACTTATTCGAACATCAATTGACTAGACATCTTTCAAATAATCGAAGATTTAAGTTCGTATGCACATCTCTGGACCGATAAACTAGGATATTCTGTATAACTGGATGCTATTTGCATACGAATTCAATGTGAGCATAATCGGGAAAACCCACGCGTGCCTCGGTCCGGCGCGGCGCCCCGCATTGCAGGCCAGAGGTGCACCGAAAGCGAACTAGATAATCTGGAAGTCTCATAATCTCACTTCAGATGAAACCGGGTCAAGATTAACTTCATGGGAGTGTTCGGAGACGCAAATTGCAGATATATTTGTATTTATTCATCAGAAATTTACAGCTCAACAAAATTACAAGTGTGAGAAGTTAAGTACCAAGAAATTTTTTTGTGGGAAACTTTATCGGGAAAACCACTTACTAACGACATTTCCACTTGTTTGACATAACCATCATCAGTTACATGAAAAAGTATCAAGGGCCCAGCCCCCTTCATTATTTTTTATGTTACTGACAATGACATAACTTTATTAAACCCAGTATTGTTGACTGGCGTTTAGCGATAATAAGGATGAATGCATTATACAAAAGTAAATGGTTCTTGATATATTTAAATATCGGATATCCGATAAAAGGGAAAAACATTATTGAATGCCTAAATCATTACGTGCTACACTCTACCCGGCTGACGCAGCAAATCATTGTTCAGATATGAAGATTGTTTCAGTAAAGAAAAAAAGAAAATACTTCAAACCCGGGATTCTTATTTCTGGCACAATTTGACAATTTGGCGCATGATCGCTATAAGAGTGCGTGTAAATGATATCGCTAGATGCTGTAGAGCTGTATTCGTCATGATAATCTCAACTCGATAGTGAAATAAAATATAGTGTTCCAGTAAAAAAATCAACAACTACCCCATAGTTCATTTGTTATGAACAGCCTGTGAATGTTTCAATAAAAATGAAAAATCTCTTAAGAATATGATTTTAATTGGTTTTTGAAATTTTAAAATCGGTTCAGAAACAACTAAGTTACAATGGGAGATATTTATGGTGAACCACCTTGTACGGAATGTGCAAATTGTATGCAAACCATCATCTCATATATACTGTGTGGTCCACTAACAATGGTCAAAATTTTAACATTTCTTCGATTATCGATTATTTGAAGGATATCCAGTCAAATGATGTTCGAATAAGTCGAGCTCCCCTCCCCGGAATCGTATGCAAATGTCGGTAAATTGATTAATGATTCTAAATTCATTGTTTCGCCAAAGGGCATACATTTTTAGATCATCGACTATAACACTGAAAAATTGCCACTTCCGGTTCGTATGCCGCCCTTGGGGAATGACCTAGGCGTATGCAAACCGGCAAGCGCCCCAATTTTCGTGAGATAAGATCATTGCACCTCATTGCCGAGCTTCTTCTCAAACAAAATTTTGAGCTTTTTTCCAACCAGAAGGTGAGGTCAGGGCCGGGGCAAGGACTGGGTTGTGACTCTCCGAGGCACTTCTTCCTGTTAACTTGGACTAAGTGAGTGGGTCCCTTAATTGGCATACTGACTTAGAACATCGATAAACCCTGTGTCGCGGGCCAACAGTCTATATCATATATCAGTTCCTCTCCATCTCTAAGAAACTCCACAATTTTTACCACGTCCACGCTTTTTAGCAGCAACCTCATACATCAGTATATTCAATGAGGATTATCAAATTCTGATTGCCACCAGACTACTCTACTGAGAGGAGAGGTGAACGTTGGTAAAACTGATAAGTATACTTCTTCTTTTCGTTTCATTTTGCCTCTTCCTAAGATATTCTCTCCTCTTTTAATGTAAAATTTGCGTGATACTTTTTTTTC